CATTCCACCGTACACCTACTAATTACACTATCTAGGTATAGAAGTCTGTGCTGCAGCCGCACAAATATCAACAATTGTACCCGACGATTGATATTTCCTAACAAAATAATTCTCAAATTAGAGAACAGTTGTCTTTACCATGTATCTTCAATGCCCATATTAACTTCGGAAAGAGTTTTATCCTCTTGCAGCGTGAGAGCCTGATCTAAGGAAGAAGTCAGGGGGCTAAGACCAGTAGATTCTAATGCCTCTGATATCTCTGGTACATCAGGCAAGTGAAAAATTCCAGATGTTCCAATCATTGAAATATTTTCAGCCTCCGCGACATCCACCTTATTGTCCATTCAGATAACGAGCCACAATGCAGTCTAAAACAACAATTCCAGTCCCAAGTTCTGATCGTTCGTCGTCGAGGCGGTTGTTTATTTATCGTTCTCTCGTCACCTTGGGCTCGAGAATTCAATTTGATACCACAAGCAACGTTGGGATTCGTAACTTCTACATACGTAAAAAAGCTAAACGCTCCGATCGGATTTTTTTGCGGGGACAATTAAAATCGCGTTGGAATCACGCGCGTACGCTCGCGGTATATATCTCTCATAGACTAGCGTTGATCAATTTTGATGAGTAATGTTGCTGAGAACAGAGCAAGAGGAGACAAAAGACGCAGCCCCCCCCCCCCCCCGAGTGCTTATTGTTGAATAACGAGATTAGCATTCTAACGGAAGTTTCGAGATCAAGACACGAATTTCAATCGGATCACATTGCACCGATCACGCAGACCGTATCGGATTCTTCGTCCCCCCCCCTCCCCCCTGCCCCGCTCCCTCTGCGCGTGCAGAAAGGCCGCGAAGGAGAGTAGGAAAATTTTGCAAACACGCCGCCTCGAGCGCGTATCGTCCTAACCTGATACGCCCTGATTACGCGCGATAACGCCAGGCGCTTCGCGCCGCGTGCATGGCGAACGGCGATTATCGCCGCAACGTGGATTCCTTCTCGCGACGGCCGGACGGGCGATACGCGCGCGAAACTGACGAACACGTTCAATATGGAAGTGAAGCGGGTTCTCGAAAGTACGATCGGGCGACGGAGCGAGAGGAGCGAGCGCGCGCGCTGTCCCGCTCCGCTCCGCTCCGCGCCGCTCCGCGCCGCGCCGCACCGCCCCGAGCCGCGCTCGTCGCACGCGGCGCGAGGCTCGTCGGCACGCGGCGAAATCGCGAGAATCGCCAAACGGGAATCGGCTACTTACGCCGTGAGATAAGCGAGCCTCCGCGCCCCTCGGACGTCTACACCGCCATTGCAGCTCACTGCGTGATCGGTAGATGCGCGCGAGATGCGACTCAGTCCACAGCGCCTTGGGAAATGGACGTATTTTCGTATCCCTGACCGGAGAATCGAGAGAGTCTACACAACACTGCCGGGACGATCATGGCGGCCCCGCTTGACGACAAACGGTATCGGCCGGCCGACGGGGAGGGGGCAGCGGCGCGAGACGGGGTTCGTTCGAAGCGTCGCGGACGCGCGCGCGCATCGTGTCGTGTCGTCGTGTGTCGCCGAAGCACCGAAACCATTAATTAAAATTTTACCTGCGCAGACCGTGGCGATAAGAAGGTATTCATGGTCAGGTCTTTAAGATTATCTTTAGATACTTGGCAGCCAATGAAATGTTCCATACAGCATCTTAAGATAAACTTCAGACGGTCTTAAATATCAGATTTGACTATGAATATCGGCCCGAGAATCCGATTAGCTGCGCCATGTTGCTGCTACCTTCTCGAATGAAACGCGATTTCGCTTCAGCCAATAACGTTTCGCGCATATCGACAGTTAAGGCCGAATCTACATTGATCGTGTCGTAGTGCTGCAGGGATCGTAGACTGGTTCTAATTCAACGCTGGTTGGTCGAATCTAGGATTTGCGACGTTTGCGGCGATACAATACAATCAATGTAGAACTGGCTTAATGTAACGCTGATTGGTCGAACTTATACTTTGTGATATACGATGCTACGATACGATCAATGTAGAACCGACCTACCGCAGATTGGCTCTTGCAATTTTCATCTATTCGCACAAACGCGATGACACCTAATAACTGTTGTTAAATAAGTATTGTCATTCAGTCACATGTCTAAGGCTAATATTATATTTGTCGTACGACAATTTTTCAAGCGTGTTTCTTGGATGTTGAATAAAAAATTTCTAGATACTTGAGAATTTTAATATCTTAGGCTGGTATTACATTTGTCGTATGACAAATTTTTTAAGCTTCCCAGTGAGAAATGATTCGTCGATCGACGTCGAAACGACGTCGAATCGACATCGACACCGTCGAATTGACGTCGATTCGACATCATTTCGACGTCAATCGACGAATCATTTCTCACTGGGTTGTTGATTGGCTGCAGGATGGTAAAATTCTCGAATATCTAAAAATTTTCTATTCAGCAGCCAATAAACGTACGTTTGAAAAATTTGTCGTACGACAAATGTAATATTAGCCTAAAGCCCGTATCAGACTACGGATTGAGATTGGGAGTAAATTGAAATTTGACTAATCACAGTAAAGTTTACTATAAATCTCAAGTTTCGTAACTTTTACTCTAACTGGTCAAATCTCAATCTTAATCCGTACATAGTATAACTAGTATGCCCCTGTCATTTGTTTTGTTTTGCGCCGATCCTTTTTGCACATCCGCCATTATCTTGGTGTGGCCAATGAGACGGATGTTGTATATGCGGTAGTGTGACAGTGTGAAAGAATTTCACACACCAAAGTAATGGCGGAATACCACGTGATCGAAACCGAAAAGATCAAGGGCCGACAGAGAGTGGACATAACTCATTGCGGATTCATATCAACGATAAGGAGTAATTGCGTGGTCTACAATAGTCGTAAGGTCGTAACCCAGAAAACTGTTTGCGCACAATCTAGCACTATAACGACACACTGGGATAAGATTTTACTTGTGCTGTTGAACTAGTTTTGTACATGAGTTGTTAGATATTTGCGCGCAAAATTTACGTTAATACATGAACTCGGGCAAAGTTTGCATGCGTAAAGCGAGCAAAATCGTTATGTGGGAAGATACGATCATAGAGTCATATCGGATGCAACCCAGTGAAAAATGATTCGTCAAAACGATGCCGAATCGACGTCGACTTTGACAGTGTCGGTGTCGATTGACGACATCGATTGACGAGTCATTTTTCGCTGGGCCAATGGCCATGGCCATTGGTACAATTCTACAATATTATTCTGTGACGACTGCTATTGTGTAGACCACGCATAAAACGCGGAAAGGAAAATGATAAACATTTCTGTTTTGAAATAAATTAACATGAAA